AAGCAAGTGCTTTTTGGAAGGGGGTGGGTTTATTTCCACTTCTAAAAAGAGTTTGGCACTATTAAGAGTACTAATTTACCAGCTCACCACAATATAATGAGCACGAAGCACAGCTTTGTAGTCGTTCCTGACTGTTCCTGAGCCCAGGGGAAATGAAAGGGCACCTTCATATTTATGGTATAGTATCTTTTTGCAGAAGGTTTTGTCAACATTAAAAATGTTAACACATTTCCTGACCTCTGCAGGAAATTGTGTTTGTGGGAAAAAAAAAATACAATTTAGACAAAGTTATTGGTTTCTTGCAGAGTTACGGAACATTCTCATGTCTGTACAGCAAATGTGAAGTTACAGCCAGCAGCTGGTCTTAATGGTTTCATCCGTAAAAAAAAAACCTACATGCAAAGGCACAATTCACCGTCGTACAGCGGGTTGTGCCACATTATTTCCTGGCCAGGAGCTGCAACTTCCTGGACTCCCCGCTGGTTGACTGGCACCTGGCAGCTCCGGCTACATATTCAGCGTACAGACATGGAAAGTGGGGATCTTATTTAACTCGCAGTAAGAAAGCTGAGCCATTCCCCAAAATAACTGACTATTTCTTAAACTACCAGCCACTTCTAACATAGTCCATGGGCAAAATGTAACTCGCACAATTCACAAGACGATTTTAAGTGTGTTCAAGAACTAAAAGTAACCCTGCTAAAGTGAGCAGGTAGGGTGACGTGAGTAAGCCCGTCCCATGTTACACTGCTTCCACTCAGGAGCTCATATCACCCGCACAAAACCTCATTTGTGCCTTCACAATACAACTGGTTAGTTAGACGTACCTGTGTTGTCAGCGCAGTTGATGACCGCTCCCACTGGGAGACCCAGTGAGATCCTGAACTTGGCTCCAGATGAACCACCACGTCCTATAAAGAAGACAGGAACAGAATTAGAAAAAAGAAAAAGACAAAAACCTGTTTACCATGTGCTTCTAACAGGACAAGCCACTCATGGTGAGAATAATAATAATAATAATAATAATAATAACAACATTACATACCAGTACCATCTCTGCATTTAATACCAATTTAATTTAAGCTGTTATGTGATCCAACACAACTTGGTACCAATTTAGCAGCTAACACAATAACATAACCAACAACCAACCTCGAGGTGACCAGCATGTGCAGCCATGCTAACACATCTGTAGCAGACAAACTGGTAACATGCCTGTAATATCAAACACCTGTATATCTGAAACCTCAACTCTTCATGAGCTGACATAAACTGGCCTTCTCTCAGCTCATGAAAGAACTAAAATTCTCCCCAAATTGGGAAATGTGTGGTTGTGACAATATCGGCTGCTAGTTCAACAGCCCCTACCTTTCACAATTCACCACTGCCACACAAGTTATTAGGGTAAGACATGTATCCAAGAACAAGAAGAACCTGTGGTAACCCTTTCAGTAACTGAGCCTAACACGGGTTGTCCGTCAAACTGGACGGGGTGCTAGCATCGTCTGGCTCAATGGTTCAACTTTTCACGTTCTAATATTTTTCACCTATGGGGTAATGTTACAACCAATGTACGAATTGTCCAAAAGCTAAAGCATTCGCAACATAATTTGCCCAAAACTCTTTGGCTAGCGCCGTGTGTTCACATTTGAGATAAATGTGAATTTCAGATTATCCACGATTCACACTAACCTTTATACCGGCTCTGACTAGCTTTCTCGGTAAGCCTTAGCTAGGTCGGCCTAATTTTAAGTTGCTAGACAATTTGCAGCACGGAACCTACGCTTTGAGTAAATCCAACGGTTCAACATTAAACCTGCCCCAATAAAACCTGTCTGGATCTTACAGTATGAAGCTAATTCACATTTTCGGCCTGTGGCTTCACGCCTACATGGCGCTGACACCGAAACATGGCTTACGCCAACTACCCAGCGAAAAGGCTATCGTTCTTTAATTGTATCCTTCTACACAAACTTCAAACGAATTGCGTATATATGTTGTCCTCACTGATATATCACAAACAAACAACATTTCAAGCTCTGGTCGGACGTAAATAACAGCAGATGAATGTGGATTTTGCAAGGTGGCTTTCATACCTCTCTTAGACATTGCTGCAGTAGGGAAAGAGGAAGCCGGAAAAAGGAAGTCTCAGATATAAAGTTGAACAGAACTTCATCCGGGTCCTGGCGCGGAGCAAAGATGCATTCACGAGCAGTCAGAATACGGAGAAACTGTATTTTTGCATTGTCCTTAGGCAGATTTTTAGGTAAAGATATTTCGACATTCATCACTTACAAGTCTTTTTAAAATTGTTTTTTAATGTAAACCGGCACTGTGTATTAATTAAAACAATATAATTGTTAAAATGATCGAAATTAGCTCTTTTTAATTATGTAACAATATCGCCGTATAATATCGTGGTTGTCAGTGACGTATGTGCCGGTAATGTAGCAGAGGGAAAAGTCTTTAATCACTAATTCATTCGATTCACATGACGTCACTATCACTGTAGCTTTGCACCGCCATCTTTACGACCAACTCG